AATATTAACAAGATATCTTTATTAAGATTTAAACGATCTTTATTCAATGGACTTCTTTGTTTTATACTGCATGTATAGATCTGTGTCTAAGTTAACTACTCGTACTTTTGTTTTTGTGCAAAAGTATCAAGGTGTGTGTATACAGTATGTATGGATTAGTTTCAGTAGGAAATATTGAGGATCAGGGAATACAAAGGTTTTGTTGATTTTTTATACAGTTTGTTATTTTATATTGTCAGTTGAAATCTTTTAAATTTTGTCTTATTTTTGAGGTGCTTAATTATTTTAATGTTTAATTACAGATATGTAATTGAATGTATCAACTGTGGTATTATCTATCGAAGTCGTGAGTACTGGTTTGGAAACAAGGACCCTTGGGAAACAGTTGTTCGTACTGACATAAAACATATTTGGCAAGGAGTAAGTTTCTCGTGGGACTACTTGAGATAACATATGCTATAAAGTTTAGAAGGCAATTTAATGTTAAGAAAAGATACATATCTAAATTTTTGTGGTATTTTGTTGTTTCATGTTAAATTACTAGTTTAGAATGTTGCACCAAATGTTTCATATGTTACTTGTATTTCAGTAACAGCATTCATAGACTAAATAAACATCTCTGTAGAGTTTCTACCCTTTGTAGCCTAATAACAGAGGCTTAGTCTGAACTAATGTGAGCAATAAAAAGTGCAACGAATTTATTATTATGTATTTACTTTTAATATGAATGTTGTTTGGATTGAATTTTTATTTAGAAATAGGCGTAACTTGTATTATCAGATATGTGTTGCGTATAACGAATTTATGATATATTTATTTTAATATCAACATTTGTTTAGAATAAGTTTATATTTGAGGGCATGTCTAGCTTACTGTGTTAGTTACGTATGGCAAAACTCCCGCAAATTCTTCAAGATTATAGAACATTCATAAATAAAGAATAACCTTCCGTAACCTGTATATCAGAAATTTCTAGAAAGTGTGATTCTCCTATAAAAGCAGCAGACAACAGAGAAGAAATGAGAGAGACAGGTCCACTTTGAAACTATTATAATCGTGTAAGCTATAAAGTGTAATTTTGGTAACCCTATTAACCGAAAAATACAAGACATTTGACCAGGAGCAGTTATAAATTTCTAACATCAGTGAATTCCCATCAAACGTTAATATCTCTTCAACAATATTCCTAATTTCTCGTCAGACATTAGTGATGTTGTGAAAATATTATCTTATTTCAACGGTCCAACAATTCAGTGCCTGACAAAGCTAGCTAGTTTTGCGCCAAATTCTGTGTACGTACAACTCGCTGGATATCAAGGAGACTTTGAACTAGGAAGACGGTTTTAGGCTATTTGTAAGTTAATGAAATTTCTGTTTATGAAACTTTGTTTATAATAAAAAATCATAAGAGTTGCTATTGTATATTATATTGTTGTATATATATATATATATATATATATATATGTATATATATTAAAACGTATTTGTTTCAAAACGAAAACGGTGTGAATCAATCTTGTTGGCAAATAGCATAAATTAAATAAAATACAGGCATATTTCTAAACCTAAATCCAAGGTATGTCTCAACTATTAAAAGTCAAATTATTTAACGCGGCCTTGAATTATTTCAAATTCTAAATATGTAACAAAAGAATCATTTACTTTTGAAACATTTTTAAGTTCTTGTTCTTGAGTAAAAATATCAACATTTGAGTGTCTTCTAGTGGTGGAACAATTTATTTGCAAGCAATATTGAAAAACTACATCAAAATAGATATTAAGGTAGATTGTGTTTTAGTGTTAGAATAGTGATGTGTGCTTTATGTATTCTATGACTAAATCATTCTGTATGGTGTATGTATAAACTTGATTGTTGAAATAAAGGGTTGCTGAAAGTGTGAAAGATAAAAAAACAACAAGTAAAATTCTATTTTAATATGAAGAAATTCTAAGGAATTGTTTATTTAATCATTAATCCCCCCTTTACGAGTGTGAAAAATTGCATTTATTGAGGATGAATGCATAAACCAATTTTTTACAAACTATTGAAATTTATCTTATAATTTTTTCCTCAGGAACCAACTCATCTCCAGAGCACTCAAAATGCTGCTCAGAGAGTTATAGACAGTGTCCAGTATCTTTCTGAAACTGTAAGTGCTATGAGTGTGAAGCCAACGAGAGTTTTAAGTAGTTGGGTTGCTGATCAGTTGGCTCCAAGTTATTGGATTCCTAATTCTGAAGTAACAGTAAGTTGATGAAGGCACATCACTTGTGATTATGAGTGTATTAATTAGAAATAGAAAATAAAGGTTTTGATGTTTGAAGATCTAACATAATTCAAACTCACTGGTGTTATAATAAAATTATGTATAATTTGCACATACTTTCTGAATGGGATGGACAGAGCAAAGCTTAATGGTTAGTGTGTCGGACTGTGAATCCAGAGTTTGCACCTTGTTACTACTGATCATAAAACAAATTGCACTTTGCCTTTAGGGCCATTGGTGTATTATAAAAATGCTACTCAAATCCCACTATTCAGTTAGCTCACACGTTGGTAGTGAGGATGTTGACTAGCTGCCTTCTGTTTAGTCTTTTTCTTCAAAATTAGGGACAGCTAGCACAGGTTACCATGAGGTGAAATTCAATAAACTACAACTAACACTGAATGGGATAGTATAAAAGTTTCAACTACAGTAATTATGTGTGAGTTAGTGTATTAACCCTTTCACTATGGGTAAGTTAGAGTGCATATTACGACTTTTTAGAAAGTTATATTCAAAATTTAGTTAATGTATATGAATAAACTTGGCATCAAAACATAGATAATAAATCAAATTTCAATGTTATATAAGTCTTAAGTTCTTAATTTTATAAAGAAATATTTTAAAAAGTCCTCAGTCTCCCCTAGTATGAGAATTGTGACATTTGTTCTGTAGGTCTTTTCCCTTCTCTAATTTATTTACCACCCCCTCTCTGAAGTACATAATTTACCATTATTCACATTAATTTACTCATTATAATATAGATATTAATAAGGCAAAGTCTAATTTTTATAGCCTTCAATCTTATATTGTTTATGGAGACATAAACTAGAAAGTCGGACTCACCTGTGACATCCTCTTTTTACCAAATTGCCCATAATTTTCTCTGATGTTTCATACTACATTATTTATAAGCAATAGAAAGGCGGAGTTTTAATTTATGAAATGACATATTATATTACATTGTTTTCAGTACAGAGTATTGTCTATTTTGTCTTCAGTTTGAAAGTTTTTCTAGCGATGTTCAAATTAATAAGCTTTGGGAATTATTTTGGGAATGTTATGCCATAGTTAGAAAGCCAGTTATATTATAATAGTTATAAGATATTGTATGGTTTGTGTGTGTTATTATTCTGGGTTCTTAGGTGCATTATTTAAGTAAATAAAAGTTATTAAGTGTACCAGTACTCATTATAAAAAGGTAAACTTAAATTTCAATGATATGAAAGATGCATTTTAGAAAACCAAACAGTTATCAAATTATTATACTGGTATGTATAAAACCATTGTAATTTAACTGGCTTTCTGACTAAGCTATATGTGGATTAAAAAATATACTTTCTGTTCAGAGCCATGACTTAGTCAACAGACTTCACCATTTCCAGTGAAATGACAAGTTTCCCATTCAAGTAAATTGCAAACGAATGTCAGCTTACGTAGTTTAGAATGTGCTCTTTCTGTTGGTTACAAACATGTACTTAAGAGAAATAGGCATGAGTAGATAGGAGGTTTTAGAAGACGGACGTAGTGGGCGGGGCTACCCTGGTAGGTTTCTAAATATATTGATGTCTCAGCAAATCAAAAAGGTAGAAGGTTCTTAATTTATACTCTAGGTTTTAAATGTCTGAAATTTTAGTAACTAGTTCGATAACCACTGTAGACATTGTATGGCAGGTGTGAGAAAATATAAACTGAGCAGTAATACAAAAGAGACGTTCTTCCCTCTTCTCACAAGATAAGCTATTCTCGTCCAGTGCATGCCACAAGCCTTTTCCTCCCCCCTATTGGAATCGAATGATTTCAATCTGTCTCTCATGTAAATCATCATGCATCATTTCTCCACCAATAGGAGTGTGACATATGTAACGCATGTGAGTCCCTCTGTATGCCTCTACCGAACTATCACTTCTCGTTTGGCAGTGCTTGTGCTTGGACATGTTCGTTTTGTTTGTTAAAGTTTCACATTCGTCTTTAGTATACTCGCGAAGTGGTCTTTATTTATTTTCAATTCTAGTTTTATTAAGACTGTTCCTTTACTTCACTTTTCTTCCAGTTTATTGCAGTTGCCTAGTTACTTATACTTTTGCTTTTAATTGATTCTGCTTCATTATGAATTACGGAAGTTCATGTTACCACTTTGGGGGTCACACCTGCAACTAGTGCTATATCTCAGGCCTCAGATGTGGGCAACCCGACGGGATTTATCTGTGTTTATTCGCCGAGAGATAGAACATTACATGGATCAAACTCAATCTCCAGACGTTAACCACTTCCTCCCGAACAAGCTTAGTCTGTTCAGGTGGACGAGGACTTGGATCGCCTATTTCCACCTCCTGACTTTGCTGTGCCTTCCCATGTTCCGCCTGAGGAGTCAGTTAAGCCTAATACCGTCTTTTTGGATTCTTATGAACTGCATCCTTCCTTACTAAATAACCAACCTTCCCATCCCTATTTGGTTTTCCCCCTCCCCGGATATTCAGGTACATGCTGAACAATTTGCCTCTTAATTAAGTAATGAGATTAGCATACCCCATTCCCCCATGGGCTTTGGATAAGTTTGCTCTTGCATATCATAGGGCAGGCTGTCCTTTTCTGGACCAACAATTGTTAGGTCCCATTTTACCTCTTTGGGGTGCAGTGTCCGAATCTCCTGTGAATCCTGTGGTATCTCTCGACCATCTATCTCCTCTCTGAGGCTCTCCACCAAAATCCTGAGTGGTTTTCTGGGGATTTCCTCTCCCTTCTTTCCTCTACATTTGTCATCTTTGGCTTTGGCCTTTCATATACGTGGTTTCTCTGTTGTTCTGACCTTCTAGGTCGTGATGCGACCTTAACTTGCATCTGTTTACCATCATCTTATTTTAGGAATTTACATATGGCCCCATTTCTGGGGTTATACGTCTATGACACGATCTATGAGTCTTTGGAATCACGTTACATCAGCACAACAATAATCTACCCTTGCCAACCGTGTTGCCCATTTATCTCAGTTGTGGCCCAATATGGCACCAGTCCCCATTTTCCGTTCCAACCCTTACCTGTCCCCTCTTCTCAGGGTCGCCAACAGTATTGGGGACTACCCAGTGGGAGCTCAACTTTCTGAGTTTCTTCCACACTGTTGTCAATTCGTCAAGGATCAGTGGGTTATTCAAGTTTTATCAGAAGGATTCGTGATTCTGTTTTTGTCTCTTATACCCATTTCCTTCCCTCCGCCTCGGAATCCCATGACCAGCCAATGTCTGTCGGAGGCAGTTCAGGAACTACTTTCTCAGCAGGCCATCAAACCTGTTCTACATCCTTCAACAGGTTTTTATTCCAGACTCTTTGTTGTTCCCAAGAAAACCGGGGACTGGAGACTTATCATCGATTTATCTCACCCCAATTTCTTCATTCAACTACCCTGGTTTACCATGGAGTCTTTTCTCACCCAATGTTGGGCATTTTCTCTGGGCTTATGGTTGACCAAGATGGATGTTGCCAATGCATATCTGCACATCCCAATATCCCCATTGTCTCGTCCGTATCTTCGGTTCGTCCATCATGGGGTGGTTTATCAATTTTGCACCCTACCCTTCAGGCTTGCTTCTACTCCTTATGTTTTCTATCAGGTGGTCAGATCTTTTGCTCTCCATCATCATGCTATGAGATTTCAATTCCACCATTATATGGGTCACTGGCTTCTTCTGGCTCATTCCGAACACGAGTCAGCCAGCCATACTCATTAGCTCCTACTAATGGCTGCTTGGGTGGGCTGATTAATCAAATTGGAGAAGTACTTCCTCCTACCTACCCAATATCTTGTCCATTTGGGTGTCCTTATCGACACTTGACTCAGTTGTGCCCAACTTTATCCTCTATGATTTCATTCCATGGAATTGTTAGTTTGCCACACCCTTTCAGCTCCCTCACTTTCTGCTTGCAAGGCTCTATCACTTTTGAGGATGTGGTCTTCCCTGATGTCACTGGCCCCCCTCGGTTATGCACATATAGGATCCCTTCAGTGGGCTCTTCATAATCAATGGAACCTTGCTCAGGATCCCTTGGCAGCTCCTGTTACCCTTCCTCCTACCCTGATGGTTGATCTGCATTGGTGGTTGGACAAGGCTCATACGTCAGCTTGTGCCACGCTTCCTCCCCCTCGTCTGGATTTACATCTTTTCACGGATGCATCCCTTCAGGGCTTAAGTGCATTGGTCAATCACCAGGAGGCTTCAGGTCATTGGTCTGTAGATGAAAGGTCATTGCATATCAACATCCTCGAGCTTCTCGCATTTCTTTGGGCTTTGAATCACTTCCTTCATCTCATCAGAAACTGGTGATGATTTATTCTGTCAGTTCTTTGGTGGTCGCACACTTCAATCACCATCTTATTGCATGTCACATTTTGGGTGCTTTCAAGCATGCAGCAGATCATCTTTCCCACCCCGACCAAATATATCTGATGGAGTGGTCTTTTGATCCCCTAGTTTTCCAGTGGCTTTGCAATCTGTGGGGTTTTCCCCAAATAGATGCATTTGTCACATACCTCAATCACAAGTTACCCCTCTTTTGGACCCTGGTACCTCATCCTCGGGCTCCAGCTGTCAATGCCTTCAGCCAGGATTAGTCCCACAAATTCCTTTATGTTTATCCTCCTATCCAGTTATGTCATCTTGTAATCTCTTTCATCTATACCAACCCATGTTGAGTCCTTCTAATCGCTCCTTATTTGCCAGCTCAACTGTAGTTTCCATGATTACAACAAATACAACTTTTCTCTCCCATACCTCTTACTTTGTCTCACTCTCTTCTTCGTCAACTTTGGTCACCAGTTCTACATCCAACCATTCACGTCGTTCATCGTCATGCTTGGTTTTTATCCTGTCCTTGGTGAGGAGATCATGTTTCTCTTATCGAGTAGCTTTCCTGTTAGCTCATTCCATACGTCTTCCTCAATGGAGGTGTATCAGCGCAAATGGTAGGTGTTCCGCAGCTGGTCTGCAACTCGGGAATTTCCTGGTGATCGACTTACTGTGTCCGTATCACCCATGGACTGCATGGGTAAAGCAGAAGGGGATAGCTGCCTATCCCCTGTGTGCCTTGTATTGAATAAATTGGTATGGTCTGCTTTTCAAAATAGGGTTTCATGGTCACTCATTGCACTGTCTCAGGTGATGATGTTCTTCTGGACCCTCCACCACATTCTCACCCCCATTTTCTTCAAGTGGAATATGGGAGTACTTACCACTTTACAGTTCCAAGCTGCTGGGGTGGTTGACCATGGAGGCACCCTCCTGAATAGGTTCTACACAAAGATGGCTATAACCATTCAGTGCAGAGTATGGCAGTGATGTTCTGCAGGTGTAGATGATATGCTATCCTCCACTATGCAATATACACGAACAAAGGAGTGAGATTCAAATTCGGTGACAAGGAACCCACTTTGAGACCAATAATGGCTGGAGATGGGTCACAGAGCAGATAAAGGGGGATTGTTCTGGTTCTGTCCTCTTACTATCCCTCATTGTATCTTAATCCAAGGATGTTATTGCTTTTTATACAGACATCCTTTCAATACCAGATGTTGGTACCCAGTTTGATCGATTAAAGCTAATACATGTGTCATGCTCAGTAGTCGGGATGGTTCCAGATGCCCTCTGGTCTCTTGAACTTGAGGTGAATAAGGTATGATTCTCATCCTACCCCCCACTTGGATGTTGGTTCCCAGTTGCACAGATTGTGGATATAGTTGACTTACTGATTACAGTCCCTCGTGCCCTAGTCATTCTACACCTAGGAGCACATCCATTGTTTTACCTACTTTTATAATGTGTGGGATTGAGTTACATATATATATTTACTTGATTAGGATCACCATCCTGCCACAGTTATCTCCCACTTGAATGTGCTCCTCTGTTTTTCCACCCTTATCTACTACGCATTTCACAGATGGGTGAAGAGTATACCTGGTTCAGAAGTGGTGAGGTTCCCCTCATCAGATCTTTGTATCTGACTCTCTCCTCCGATAGGCACTTCCCTTCTCTCACAAGGTTAGTTATTCTCATTCAGTACTGACCTCTATATGCAAAACTTTTCTTTATGCATGCCACAAGCCTTTTGTTACCCCCTATTGGAATCTCATGTAAATCATCTTGCGTCATTTCTCCACCAAAAGGAGCGTGACATATACGATGCATGTGACTCCCTCTATACACTTCTACCGAACTATCACTTTGAGGTTTGGCAGAAGATGTAAGCACTGAAGGAAAGTGGGGAGGAAGGGTGGGAAGTGTTAATGGAGGGAATTACTTATCAAAAATATATTTTCAGTGTCGGAAGATTATAACTTCTGATCAATACGGTACTTCCCTCCTCTCACAAGGTTAGCTAGAATTCCACACTGAGTAGGCGGTAGGACTGGTGTAAGGGAATGACAGAAGTACTTCTTGAAAGCTTCCAAAGGATATCCCTTGAATATATATTTTCAGTATAGGAAAATTATAACTTTAGCATTTTAAGGAATTGAAACATATATAATATTAGCATTTGAATAGTAAACTACATTTTGATACCACTATTATTGACATATAATGATGATAAAGTTGTTAAATTAAATTTTGAAAATAACTCTCCAAAATGCTGTGACATGCATTCTTTGGCCTGTCAGTAGCAAGAGGGTTAAAGAGATATTAAGAATGATAAGCATTTTGGATGATTAACTTATTGTCTGTCTATAGTTTTTTCTGTTTAGGGGGACAGTGATTTTTGATATTTTTTGTGTGTGAATTTACTCAAGTAATTACCTAGTTAGTTTTCAATTTTTATGATAGTCAATATTGTTGGTCAGTGTAAACAAAAAATTATTACATATTTTAGCCTAATTAATGCTGTGCAGGTATACCACATCATAAACAAATGATGCTACCCCAAAAAAAAAATGTTATTTTGTAACAGATTAATCTAAAAAGATGTAATATCAAGAGTTACTGCATTGGTCAAATGAAGGATTATATTAAAATTTGACATAATAGACTAATTCATTAATCTCTTTTATTGAGTTTTATAATAATGGGTTCTAGTCCAATAACAAAAAGTTGCATATTGATCACTCAGTACATATTCTTGATATTTGGTTTTTGACAGAAACATTAACACAAAATTGTTTTTACTGATTGCACAAGTAAACTCTGTTTGCTGTGCAATATAAATGACAGAATTTTCAAACTCTTTAATGCCTATTCTGAGGACTTTAAATATGGCAGGTTACAATTTAAAACAGAAGGCATTTAGAGAAATCAAAACTGCAAATTTATTGACGTACATTTGCTGTCTTTGTTACTTAAAAGGAATTTATGTAATTTTACTAATGTGGGAACTTTGTTCACTACAATATTACGTATTTGTAACTTTTAAACTGATTAATGTTTTTCTTAGCATTTCTTTGAATAATGTCATAAATATACATTACATAGTTGCAATTTTTATCCCTACATAGTTTATTTAAAAGAGCTATTACTAAATCATAAATTGTGATGTATGCCTTTTGTTATCCACTAGCATTGTGGTCAGTGTAAAATAGAATTTGATGAATTGGACATGAAACACCATTGTCGAGCCTGTGGCTATGCTTTTTGTGAGGACTGTTCATCTAAAACAAGACCCGTACCAGGACGAGGTTGGGGCAGTACTCCTGTTCGAGTTTGTGATCAGTGTTATGATAAAAGTGAAGGTGAAGCAATATTTTTCTGTTATTTGTGGAGATTGCTTACCTTGCAAAGTATATTTACTTAATCACATAATCAGATGAGAAATAAAGTGCAGTTTTAATCAAAGAATATTAAATCTTTGTATGACTGGTACATGTATACACCTGGAAAAAAGTTAAGTACCCCCGTGTTTTTTTCAAGTGATTCAGATTTGACGTTCTTGTGACTGATTATAAATTACCATTCAATCTAAACGTGTTTATTAAATGAAATTATGCATTATTGGGCACAAGAAAACAAGATTATCACCGTAAAATAAC